GGCCTCCCAGAGTGCTAGGATTACAGGCGTGAGCCACCGCGCCCGGCCGTCCTATTGCTTTTGTCCCCTCTTGTTCTTGGTTGTGTTGAAGGCCGGCCCTGGGACCCGGAGCCACCATCGGGGCCCAGAACGTTGTTGGAAGTCGTCCCTCAGGCCTGAGTCATCCTGAGAGCTAATCCCTGAAGCCCTGTGCCTGGGACTGTGCCCGGGCTTGAGTGTTGGGTTGCCACAGGGGACCTGTCCTGGCTTGTCCTTCTCCAAGAGAGACCTGAGCAGACTGCCACCTCACTGAGGTGTTGTAGGTGAAGTCTTGGGCCTGAGAATATCTTGCCGTCCCACAGGCACTTACGAGCCAGTGCCGAGCGGTGACACAGGCTGGCCCTGCAGATGGGGTCCGAGCTCTTCTGCCAGTGCCCTGCTCTGAGTTGGGCGTGAGGACAGGCACCGGCCCCAGCCTGCAACTTCTCGAGCCCTGAGCCCCCCAGCAACCATGCAAAGTCGGTTTGCTGGGCAGGGGGCATTCTCCCGTTTCACAGAGGAGGAAACTGAGGCTCAGAGAAGTTAATCTGCTTGTCCAGAGTTACACAGTAAGAGCCAGAGCTCAAACCCAGTCTCCTGCCTCCCGTTCTTACCCTGAAGGGCTGGGGCCACATATCCTCCTGCCCGTGCTGACCTCCTGTCGCCCCCAGCAAGTCAGAGGTTGCTGGCCAAGGCAGTAGCCTTCCCCACCCCCGGCCCGCGACGCCCTGGCAGAGTATGATGGGCCCTGTGTCTGTCGCAGGTGCATCATGACGAGTTCATCCCCCAGTTTGAGAAGCAATACCCAGAATTTCCCTGGAGCGGCGTCCAGGTGAGTCCTGACTTCTACCAGGTGTCAGGGGCTTGGCTCCTGGGCTGGGCCCTGCAGGAGCCGCCCCCTCTCGTGGGCTCAGTGGCGTCTTCACCGCCTCTGGATGGTCCTTTGCCTTGGAGGAGACAGCGAGGGCTCCCCTCCTTCCGCTCTAGGCCTTTGTGGGGGCTCTTCAGAGGGAGAGGGTGACCTGGGGCACTCCTGGGACAGCCAGAGGGCAACGGGCTCTGCCTGCCCCTGGAATCCAGGCCATTTGGAGACGTGGGCTGGACCTCCACGCCCCGGAGCGAGCGTTTCAGGTGCTGGCTGAGCTCCGCGGGGCGGGGGCGGTAGCTGCAGGGTCTCCGAGGCTGGAGACACAGGCAGATTTGCAGAAGGTGGACGCCAGGAATGAGGGGGCAGGTGGCAGTCGGAGGTGGCCATGGCCAGGTCTAGAGACATGAAGGTGTAGGAGGGGGTGACTCGAGGTATGTGGAGACCAGGACTCAGGCAGGGACAGCGAACCCTTTGTTGAGAGGCTGCTCTGGGCGGCTAGTCCCAGCATCAGGGTCGAGCAGGGCTTGTGACTCAGCCTCCCCCGGTCCCCAGGCGGAGATCTTCCGCGCCTTCACGGAACTGTTCCAGGTGGCCTGTGCCAAGCCACCACCCCTGGGCCTGTGTGACTACCCCTCGTCCCGGGCCATGTATGCCGTTGACCTCATGCTGAAGTGGGACAACCGTCCAGATGGTGAGAGGGGCTCCCCTGTCCCCCATCCAAACCACCAGGCCTCCCAGCTGGCCACACCCCGGAAGAGCGGGTGGGAGGCCCTGACCCAGCCTGGCCTTTGGCTCGTATCAGTGGGAGATCCAGGCTGGGAGAGGCCCTGGCTTAGCCCACCGGGAAGGGAAACACCTGCAGCAGGGAGAGAGTTCCCAGGACAGGAATCCCGTGTGGAAGGCACCTCGTCCCCGCACAGCCTTGGCCAGGCCCCCTTGGTGCCAGGCCCTGCATCTCTGTTTTTTGACTAAACTGAACATCTAAGCTTAAAGTGACACTCCCGTTGTCCCTAAGGCTGGAGGCAGCTCTGGTCTCTCCTGGAGGTGCAGGTGTCAGGCCAGGCCTCCCCGCAAAGCAGGAGTTTTGGGCCCCGCACCCGCCCACTGTGGGAACTGGGGCTGGGGTCCACCCCTGCCCCGGCCTTCTCGGGGTCCCCAGCTGCCCTCCCGGGCATGAGGCGCGAGGCGCAGATGAGCCTCCATGCCAGCTCTGCTCTGTGCCCTCAGGGAGGCGAGTGATGCAGCCGCAGATCCTGGAGGTGAACTTCAACCCGGACTGCGAGCGAGCCTGCAGGTACCACCCCACCTTCTTCAACGACGTCTTCAGCACCTTGTTTCTGGACCAGCCTGGCGACTGCCACATCACCCGCCTCCTCTAGGCACTTGCTGCCCCTCCAACCTGTGCTGGGGGCGCGGATTCCCACCTCAGTTCTCTGAGCTGCTTCTAAAGGCCCCACCCTTCCCCCCCTCCCTCGGGCCCCAGTCCCCAGCCCCAGGCCTCTGTCCTCAGCCATGGTCCTGGCCTCACCCCAGGAGCTCAGGGTCCTTCTCCCACCAGAGGGTCGGAGCAGGACAGCGGTGGTGTCCCCGGGGCTGAGCGCTGCCCCATCTACTCCCCTCACCACCATCTGGTGAGTGTCCCCGCTGCCAGGGCCAGCGGCAGAGGGTGTGGGGGAAGGGCTGTGCAGGAGCACGGTGTCCTCAGAGTCACGGCTCCCTAGGGAAGCGCTGGGGACCCTGCCTCGCACAGGGCTGGGCGGGTCTCTGTCCCAGAGTCTCTGCGCTCGTGCACCGTGGCTCCCCTGCACGGGTGTCGGGCTTCACGCGCTGCCTGCAGGGCTCTGTGATGAGTGACCCCGAACAGCCTGGGGAAGCTGCCGGCCAGACCCGCCTTATCGCCACCCCCAGCTGCCCAGAACCTTCACCAGCAAACCCCCCCCGCCGAGTTCCAGGCAGGAGGGCGACTGTCTTTTGTTACCGTTCCTTTTCCATACATCCAGGGTCCCAGACCCCAACAGGGACATCGGCCTGTGGAGTCCTTTTTGTCCCAGTGGCCTCCCCGCTCTCCGGGTGCCCCGCTGGGTCCGACTTAGTCTGATTTCTCCTGGGACCCTCTGGCGTGGGGTCTCGGGGCAAGTGTGGGGGGCAGAGCACCAGGCAGGCGGCGAGCGGAAGATGATTCCAAGGAGAACTTTACGTTAAAGTCAGATGCCATCTTCTACCAGCGCCTGCAGTCATCATGTTGGCTTTTTGTTGTTTTTTAACTTATGGGAAGAAAATATGAACTTCTAGTTCTTTCCTAGTTTTGTTTCTCAAATCTAGAGTCAGCTGCTGGTGTTTTGTGTAGCCGCAGCGCACCTGGGCCCGGCTCAGGGCAGCCGGTGGGCCTGCCTCCCTGGGCAGGTGGGAGCTGCTTCCAGGGCCTTCTGGTTTGCAGGAAGGCGGGGCTGGGCATGGCGGTGTTTCATTTTTGAAGCTAAAAGTGATCCGTGTGGCAAAACTGCACAGTTATTCTGCCTGCCCCCTCAGCGTTAGGGAGAGCCTCGCCCACCCAGCAGGACCAGGCCTGTTGCGGCGGGAGGGTGGGCACCTCGCCTGTTTCCCTGGAGCTCTGCATTATGTGCTGCAATAAGGGACGCCTTCTCCACGCCTGCCTTCCTCTCTCTCTGGGGCCCTGGAGCCAGGGGCTTGGCCTGGTGTGGCAGCTGTTTCCCCTGCTGTTGCTAAAAACCCCCAGAATACCAGCTGTCACTGTGGGAAGCCACAGAAGAAATAAGAGGGCATTTAGGCCTCAGAGTGCCCCACCCCAAAGTAGGATTTCCCAGCAATGGGAAATTCCAAGCGATGGGGGGCTGAGCCCCCTGCCAGCTCTGCCACCACTGCCCAGGAACTTCGGTCCTCATGTGAGCCCGGAGCCCTGGTCGCCCTGGGAAGTGGCATTCTCCCCGCACCTGCCACCTTGTGCTGGGGTGGAGGTGATAAGAGACTCCAACTCCTCTTGGGCGTGGAGGGTTCCAAGGGCTGCAGCAGGGTAGGGGCAGGACGCTGTCAGCAGGCGGCAGTGGCGCCACCTGGTGGCCTGAGGTTAAAACGGAAGGGAGAGCAGCCTGCAAAGATGCTGCTTCTCTTGAGCCGCCCTACACGGGGTTCCCCTCGGGAGGATGCCCACGCAGGGCTGGTCTGGGTGCTGCTCTTGCCTGCTCCCCGTCCCCCTAAAATGATGCCCACGAGTGGGCAGGGACAGCCGCTGCAGTCAGGACCACGTGGTCCAGGCTATCCCTGATGCTAGATGTGCTTTTCTGTCCCCAGACGTCCCGGCACCTCTGCCCGGTGCACGTAGACAAACCCCAGGGAGGGCCATGAGCCAGGGGCTCCACAGGCTGAGACAGTTGCCATGGAGATGGTGCTTGTCACACTAAATACTAACTCCTAGAACTCACTTGCACCCTTGTCACTTTCTGTTGAAAATGCATCAGAAGCCAGAATTTGTCAGCGTCGGACATTTGGAGTGGACTGGAGAGAGTCCGGGTAGTGCAGGTAATGGTACCGAAGTCCTACAAAGCAAGGCAGAGGAAATCAAAAGGCAGAGCTCGGCTGCTGACAGCAAGACTTAGATGTCCCGGCGGCCCCTGTGGCTCCGTAAACACACCCACAGGTAGCGGCTCTTTCGTCAAGAAGCACCAACGCACTCTGGCATCTCGGTGCAGGGCAGGCCAGTTCCTCCCTGCCCGGCCCGGAGTGGCCAGCCACAGAACTCAAGTGTTTGACAGACTCCTAAGGTCACGGTTGCCTATGTGCCGCCACCCGGCTGGCCGCGCCCTCCGGGGCCATGTGGACGGCCTGGCCTTGCGTCCTCTGTGGCCAGTCGGCCAGCCAGGGGGGCAAGTGCACGGTTTGGGACCTCGCCGTGTGCAGTGGCTCCAGGCAGGAGGGCAGACCAGAAGGACTTAACCGGTCTGTGGGGTGTGGATTTTCCTATTAAAACCACTGTGGGCCGGGCGCGGTGGCTCACTCCTGTAATCCTAGCACTCTGGGAGGCCGAGGCAGGAGGAGGGCTTGAGCTCAGGAGTTCGAGACCAGCCTGAGCAAGAGCAAGACCCCATCTTAAAAAAAAAAAAAAAAACACTGCGAACCTGTCAGAACCCTGAAGTCCCCAACGCCACGACAGCTAGAAAAAGAGAGAACACCATCTGTTATGAATGGGGAGAGCGTCACGAGGCTGTTAATAGAAAGCTGGCAGACAAAACGGCTCAATGGGTTCTCGCCCATCTTTCCACGGTGTTTCTGTGGCACGTGTGTTTCGTGGCCAGTAGGAAGTGTGTGGAGTCTTAACCAGAGATGAACAAACCCGCAAGTGCGTGGCGTGGGCAACACGGCCTTTATGAACATTCCCGAAAAGACCCCAAGAGTCTCAGGTGCACCTGCCCTAAATGTCTGGTAAGCACACAGGTGCCCCGTGACACCCTGAGGGGCACCCCTGAGCCCTGCGGAGACCACGCATGCTCTCAAGGCGTGCGGGCGCAGGAGACAAGCCCACGAGCTCGTTGCTAGCAAGGCGCTCCCGTCGGTGCCGGACACGTGTCTGCACGAAGCTCTGCGGGCAATAATCTCCGACCCCTTGGAGAACTTGAGAAACAAGTGAGTAAGAAGCACACATGCAGGGTCCCCACCCGCCACCTCCTCGCCACCGAGCTTCAGGAGAACCCTGTGGACGGGCCGAGGGCTCAGCGGAGTCGCGGCCAAGAAGCTGCTAGATTCCTGCAGGGCGTGACGTTGGCATCAAACTCCCCCGCAGTTGAGCGAGGAGAGACTGGGCTCAGGGTACAGCTCTTCATGGCAGCCCCTGGATGGGGGCCACCCTTCTCTCAGCAAGATGTGGCCCCCTGTCCCCACTCATCTCCCCAAGCTGTCCTAACACTCAGTCACTTCTGCACGTGCAGTGGGGGGAGGACACGGGAGGGGGTGATAAGGGAGATCGTGCACATTCTGCCGGTTTGGATCAACTGACTTTAACCACCAAAAACCAGCCACGGAAGGCCCAGCAGGCCAGGCCTGGCCGAGGGGAGGGCGCCGCAGCCCTGCTCCTCCGTGGCTGTGCTGCCAAGTGCTGCACAGGATATGGAGACGGGAACGGGGCAGGAGCGCCCCTGTCCGGCAGTAGCCTGCCTGTGTGCGAGGCGCTTTGCCCGGCTCGTCTACCCCGAACAAACAGCTGCCTGCAGAGGTCGTGGTCCCCCAATTCAAAGCCAGGATGGGGGGCATGTTGGGGGTGATACCTCCAAACCTGGGCAAGTCTGGGCCAGCAAGGAGGCCCCATGTGCTGGGGTTCGGACCTCTGACACCTACCTCCTGCTGACTGGGTGTTTGTGGGGCCACCCCCAGTGCAATGAGGCTGGCATGAGTCTGGGCACCCAGGGGAAGGGTCGGTCGGTGTCCCCAGCTCCGTTGTGGGCAAGACCAGTTGAGGACCCTGCATGGGGTCTGGGCAGAGCCAGGCATTGGACTCCAGTGGTGGCCCCAGCCATTCAGAACCTAGGCCAAGTGCCTGGAAGCCGTGGGAAGCAGACAGGACGCCTCCCTGAGCCGAGGCCCACGGCCCGGCCCTGTCTGTGCCAGCCGGGCAGCAGCACCAGCCAGCATGGGCTCCGAGGTCTAACTCGGGGCTGCTTCCTGCATGGCCAGTGGCCCGTGGCCCGCCACTCCCACCTCAGCTCTCTCAGGGTCTTGCGAGGGTCCCGAGCAAGTGTGGGGAAGCCCTGGCTGGGCCCAGCCTCGTCTAGGTGGCACAGCCTAAAGGGACCCAACGGCCCCTCTGTGGCCCCAACCCCGCCCTCCCCACGGCCAGGGTCCTACCCCAGTAAAAAGGCCACCGTACAGGAGGTTAAAAACTTTATTTGGCGTATAAAATTCCACGTTCTCAGAGTGCTCTGAGCAGTGCAGAAAGCGCAGGGCCCTTCCCCACGTGGGGGCTGGCCTGGACCATGTCTGAAGCTGTGCTGCCCCTCAGCTGAGACCGGGACAGAGCAGCAGGCCCGGCGGCCGTGAAAACGTGACAGCCACCGCCACCAACGACACATGCTGGCACCGGCCACAGTCCTCGCAGGCTGGGCACTCACTCCAGGCCCCGCCGGCCCCCACGCCGGCCGCGGTTGTCCCGCCATACGCAGTAGTTGAGTGTGGCCGCGAAGGCCAGCCAGGCCAGGTAGGGGTAGAGCAGGCGGGCGGCCGGTGGGCTCACCCGGTGCCAGGCCACAGTCGTGGCCACCGCCACCCCACTGGTCAGCAGAAGGTCCACCACGGCCTGCAGAGACACGAGGGAGGAAGGACAGGGGTCCTGAGGCTCCGTGTGCCCTGGCTGCCCACCCGCCGGCCGGATGCGGGAGGCAGGAGCCTCATGGAGGCCGCATTCCACCCGGACGACCGGCCCAGCCCCTCCCCCGCCTCAACCTCCCGTCCTCATCTGTCAAACGAAGTCACTCCCGCCTGACCCAAGCCACGTGGGGGTGTGCAGCCAAGCCTGACGCAGATGCAGCATGTCCAGGAGTGGGGTGGTGGCCGGGGGCCTCACACGTCCCTTCCCCTCCCTGAGCTCCCAATGTTACTGCAAGGCCCAAACAGACCCTCGCAGTAAACTGCCAAGTGCGGCCCGAGAGGTGCCAGCGAGGGGGCCACACCCCTGTGGCGTGGACACCACTCCACAGACTCAGCAAGACTGTCTTTTAAAAGAGGCGCTGACACATAAGTGGTGGAGGGGCCAGTGTCCTGCCTGCTTCCTCCGCGTGTCACCGGCCTGCTAAGAGCTCCCAGAGGCAACCGACCGCGAGCCTCCCCTCCCCCACCTTTAGATGCGGACCCTGTCTGGGACATGACCACAGGGGCTGGGGACACAGGCCAACGCCACACTTACCCAACCCATCTGCCGGGCGCCAAAGAAGATGGGGGGCCATGCCCAGTTCAGGGCCAGCTGCCCAGCGTACAGACCCAGGGGAACCACCGCCTCCTCCGAGAAGCCCCCCAGCTCTTTCCAGACCATGTAGGAGCCATACCTGAAACAGAGGCAGCAGGTGAGAGCACCATCAGGAAGAAGGCCAGGAGCCTCACCCACCTCTAGAACGACACAGTGATGGCCCAGGCACACCCTGCCACTGACTGCTGTGTGACCTCAGGGAAGTTACTTGACCTCTCTGGACCTTCATTTCTCATAGGATTGCCATGGGAATTCGAGTTAACATGTTGGCAGCACTTTGTGCGGTCCCTGGCATGTGGGACACTCCATAAATACTTGCCATTGTTATCATCGGTGCTACAGATGGGAAGCACACGGGGCGTGCAGGTAAAGAGGAGGCTCTTAACCCAGTGAGGGGCCCTACACAGATGAGGGGACATTTGGGCTGGGCCTTAGAGGATGAGTAGGAGTTTGCCAGCAGGAGGAAACAGAATATGCGAAGGCTTAGAGGCGGATGCAAGACCCTGAATCAGTCTGACCGTAGGGTGAGGGCTGGGGTTCTGGGGAGGCAGGTGGCAGACTGCTCGTGGGCTGCCCGGTTAACACAAAGGCAACAATAACACCACTGAGAACAGCTGATGCCCCCAGCACTTACACAGGACAGGCACTGCTCTAGCACCTTCCAAGCACCAACTCACTTCATCCCCATGAGAATGCCATGAGGTGGGCGTATTATTACTACTTTACAGTGAGGACACTGAGGCACAGAGATCTCCTGGCAGGCAATCAGCGGAGAAAGCCAGGATGTGGCTCCCACCCACTACCTGAGGGGTTTGACCTCATTCGGGGCCACAGGGAGCCTCCAAAGGTCCCACAAAAGAGAGGCTGGGGCCGGGTTTGTGCTTTGTCACGATCTGGATGGTGGAGGAGGGAGGCCAAGGGGGCGTGGGGCAGCCCGGAGGCTGGAGCTGGTTGAGGCAGAAACAGTGGTGCCAGGGCCAGGACGGGGGACGAGAAAGTGGGGGCATGCGGGAACCTGGCTGGGCAGGGGCTGTGCCCGTGGGGTGGGGTGTGCCCAAGTGACACCCAGGTTTCAGGGTCTTATTCCCATCAGAGACCCTGGCACCCGGCCTGGCCCCTGCTAGCTGCCCCTGGGTGCCTGCTCCTGCCACCCTACACTGGGCTGGCACAAAGCCAGGATACTGGGACATCCCAGGAGGGCCGGTAGCTGACGGCGCTCTGGGTGTGGTCCCTGCCGCAGCCACCAGGGGCAATTCCCAGGTCTAGACACAGGGGACTTTGGCCGCACTGAGGCCTGAGAGGGCTCCTGCAGGGTCCCCACTTGCCAGCCCTGTGTCCTTGGCAGGTCCCTTGTCAAATGCGGGATCGTGAGCGTTAACGAAGATAAGCCTGGCCCTAGCAGGGGCTCAGCCAAGAGGTGCCACTCGCTGCTGTCGCGGCCGTTATTTATCTTGGCAGGAGCCGCGCCGCTGCCCACGGTGACCTTTACTCTCTGAGCCGACTGCAGCCCGCAGCGGCGAACGCAGCCAGGATTTCAGTGTGGGGTGAGCGTCCGGCCCACCGTCCCGGGAGGCCCAGGAGGAAAAAGTTCGTTGTGCAACCGACAGGCCTGGCTTCCCCGCCCTGACTTGCCAAACGCGGCTGGGAAACGTGCCCGCTGCCCGCAGCCGCCCGGGCCTTGACGCCGGGGCGGAAAAGCTCGCCCCTAAGCCGGGGCCTTCCCCGCGAAGGAGCAGGCACATCCCGAGGACGGCGCCCGCAGCCACCTACCCCATGGCCGAGTAGAGCGTGCCCCAGATGGGGCCCAGCGCCCAGCGGGGCGGGTGCCACGAGGGCTTCTGCAGGCCGGCGTACCAGCGCAGGCCCTCGCCGCGCACAAAGTGGGAGCCCAGGAAGCACCCCAGGTTGGGCGCCAGCGTGAAGCCCACGGCGGGCACCCAAGGGGGGGCCATGACTGTGGCCGCCGCTGTTCCGGAAAGCTCTGAAAGAGAAGAGAGGGTGGGGTGAGAGTGTCCTGAGTCCCCATGGGGTCAGGCATCACCGAGAGTCCCGTCACCCACAGATCGATCAAGCGACCGACTGATTGGGAGGTACAGGGGACACATTTCCATCCGCACTCCCGCCCCCACCCCGGCCAGGAGCCCCACAGCACCCCAGCCTGCCTGCACCTTCTTCTCTCACCCTCACCCTCACCCTGGGTCTCCCGGCAGTGACCCCTCCTGCCCCATTCAAGGACAGTTGCCCCCCCTCCACCAGCAAGGCCCCACAGCCCTGCCTCCTCAGCCAAGTGCCAGCCCTGGGGGCTCTGCCAGGCCTGTGCTTTGTGTTCCAGCACTTCACTTCAACTCTGTGGGCCTCAGTTTCCCCCTCTGTAAAGTGGAACATCGACACTGCCTACCTTGGGCCCAGCCCAGTGTGCAGCATCAGAGAGTGTCTCTGTACATTGTCTCTTCACCACCCCCTACACACCCACCCTAAAACCACCATCCCTTTCCTGTGCACAGAGAGGGAAAGCAGCCTGTCTGGGGCTGCACAGCACTGTGGGCCAGGTTCTGCCGGGTCGCAAATCTGTTCCCACCCTGACATCACAAAACGAGGGGCTGAGCTCCCACTAACACACTCTGAGCCTAGTTGGAGAGTCAGGGGGTGTCTGTTCTTTTGGGAGATAAGAAGCCGCACAACCTGATTCAGTTCGGCCAATCACAGCGAGGCCTGCTGGAGGGCCTGAGGGCAGCCCTGCGAGGCACAGACTTCAGAAAGGGAACCCCTCACCAGGGACCGGGGAGGACAGGGAACACATTCTCCTCGGGGCACAAGACGGCCGAGCAGTCCAGGGGGAGAAGGAGGTGGCTGAACACGGACTGTGGGGGCCAGGGGCGGGGGGGTGGTCAGACGGGAACAGATGGAGTCAGGGGGCTGCTGACTCCGGGGCAGTGGGGGCTTCAGGGCAAAGGGCAAAGGGCAAAAGCTGCACCGAGAAGGGCAGCTGCTGGCCTGGGACTCCACGGGGCTCAGCGACACACAGAAGCAACCTCAGTGCCCAACAACTGGGGACTATTAAAGACTGGTCAGTGCCCAAATCAAGCTTTTGAAGACTTTGTAAAGATGTGAAAATTGTTCTCAACGTAACAGTAAGTGAAGAAAGCAAAATGTAACACTGACTCCAGAATGATACCAATTTTAGCAAAAAGTAGATGACATGGACGCGCATTTTTAAAATTGGAACCAATGCATGATGTGGTCAAAATCAGATAGCCAGCGTTTCCTGGGGAATGGCTGCGTGCCGGGCCCCGCAGAGCTCTGACCCGAACGGTGCCCTGTAACCCTCGCCCCACAAAGGAGCTGCACTGTTTTATCCTCATCCGCGACAGAGACAGAGCTGCAGAGTGTGGTGGCGTTTGCCCACGGCCTCTCCGCAAGCAGGTAGCTCGGGGTTCTAAAACTCGCCCTCGGGCCGGGCGCGGTGGCTCACGCCTGTAATCCTAGCTCTCTGGGAGGCCGAGGCAGGCGGATCGTTTGAGCTCAGGAGTTCGAAACCAGCCTGATCTTTGTGTTTTATTTCATTTTTAAGAGTAGAAAGAAATTAATTGGACAACTAAAAATACACAGAAAAAAATTAGCCGGGCACAGTGGCGCATGCCTGTAGTCCCAGCTACTCGGGAGGCTGAGGCAGGAGGATCACTTGAGCCCAGGAGTTTGAGGTTGCTGTGAGCTAGGCTGATGCCACGGCACTCTAGCCCGGGCAACACAGTGAGACTCTAAAAAAAAATAAAAAAAAATAAAACTCGCCCTCGGCAGCGGGATTTACGATGGCATGTTCGTTATGTTACTTATTTTCCAAAATGTCTAAAAAGAGCATTATTTCATTTTGCTATTTTTTTTTCTGAGACAAAGTCTCGCTCTGTCGCCCAGGCCAGAGTGCAGTAGTGTGATCACAGCTCACTGCAGCCTCCAACTCCTAGGCTCCAGCGATCCTCCTGCCTCAGCCTCCCGAGTAGCTGGGACTACAGGCGCATGCCACACTTGGCTAATTTTTATTTTTTGTAGAAATGGGGTCTCACTATTGCCTGGTCCGGAACTCCTAGGCTCAAGCAATCCTCCCACCTCAGCCTCCCAAAGTGCTAGGATTACAGGCGTGAGCCACCGCATCCGGCCACCAAGGAGCATTATTTTAAAAGGTACAGAAAGTGAGGCATCCGGCAGGTTCTGGCACTGCCATTTACTCTGATTCCCTTCCTGGGCCTCAGTTTTAACGCCTATTGAATGGGGATAGTTACCCCATCCACCAGGGTTTGGGCACTGATGAACGGGACGATGAATATTGCTGGGAGCTGGGCATGCGACACAGGGCCTGGTCCGTGAATATTCCTGTGTTCTTCCCCCTGCCCCCCGCCCTGCCCTCCAGCCCCCGGGATACACATAACTGCTCGCCGGGTGGGGGCGGCCGTCAGGAGAGGCAGCTGAGCACAAGCCTTGTGGCGCCACCAAGTGTACGTGGAGCTCTGGACCCGGAAAACTGAGAACTGCCACCCAGCTCAGCTAGCCATTGTGTCACCTCAAGCAAGTTGGGGACACCTTAGCCTGACGCTCCTCTGTGCAACGGGGACTAAGCCCTGCTCTGCCCATTTAACAAATGTGAAATCCACAGCAAAGTGCAGGCATCTGGAGAACCCTAACGAGCCACACTCAGCACTGGGCCTCCCCTGGAACTGCGCCAGACCAGAGTGACATGTGCCTTTTCCCAGGATGCGCCCTGCTGAGGCCCACACTGATAGCCACTCTCAATCTCAGAAATGTCCCTTTCCAGGTGGTTAAGGTTAATGCCACCAGTATGAGACACGTGGTCATCACCATCCCCTTGATACCACTCACGGAAGTGGATACATGTTCTGTGGTATCTGTGAGTCCGCTCAGGAGAAAACCGCAGGGGCGGACTCAGGAGGAACACGAGGCACAGTGACTGACCCGCACGCCAGCACCCCTCAAAAGTGTCAGTGTTGCCCGGCACCGGCCTGTGATCCCAGCACTTTGGGAGGCAGGGGCAGAAGGATCGATTGAGCCCAGGAGTTCCAGACCAGGCAATAGTGAGACCCCATCCCTACAAAAACTAAAAACATAGCCAGGTGTGGTGATGCACACCTGTCGTCCCAGCTCCTTGGGAGCTGGGGCAGGAGGATCGCTGCAGCCCAGGAGTTGCAGGGTGCGGTGAGCTATGATGGCACCACTGCACTCTAGCCTGGATCACAGAGCAAGATCCTGTCTCAAAAAAAAAAAAAAAAAGGTCAAGGTCATGAAAGACAAGCAAAGATGAGGGAATTGTCAGCGACTGCAGATGAAAGGAAAAAAGCAACTAAAGCAACTAAGTGCAGTGTGGGACCGGACGGGACGCTGGCTGGGGGCAGACGGAGCCCGGTGGAAACGGTGCAATTCGAGCCAGGGCAACACTGTTGGATGTTGGTTCCTGGCTGTGACAACTGCACTCAGGGGAAGCTGGAGAGTATACGGGAACTTTCTGTACTACTTTTGTAAATCTAAAATTAGTTCAAAATTAAACCTTAAAGAAGAAGTATCCTGGTTTGGACAAGAAATTACACCGTCCCCACCTATGCTCGGCAGCTGTTAACCGAATCAGACCCTCCTGCTACTCAGTCCCTGGCCCTGGCCCAGGCCCAGCTCCACCTGCTGCCAGAGGCCCTCTGAACCTCCCCCAACACCTCTCCTGCTCCAAGACCCTCAGGGACTCCCGTCGGGTTTTTCCTATTTCTTTTTAATTGAGTTAAAATTCACTTTATGTAAAACCAACCATTTTAAATGCACAATTCAGTAGCATTTAGTATATTTCCAATGTTGTGCAACCACCATCTGTATCAAGTTCCAGAACATTTTCATCACCCCAAAAGAAATCCCATACCCATCAGCAGTCACTGCCCACTCCTCTCTCCCAGCCCTGGCAGCCAGTGATCTGCATTCTGTCCCTGCAGACTGGCCCATTCTGGACATTTCCTACCAATGTCATGCAGTAGTGGCCTTTGTGTCTGGCTTCCTTCACTGAGCATCATGCTAGAGGCTCCCTGCCTTGTAGCACGTGGCAGTACTTCCCCCCATGGTTCTGTGGGCAAGAGTGCCCATGTCACCTGGCCACGGCACCCAGCGAGGCCAGGCACACACTCGGTGCCTATGAAAACCCCAAACGGGACCCAGTGTTCCCACTGATGGAGCCTTAAGGACCAACATCCAGGTCCCCCAGTGTACAGAACAAACCAAGGCCACAGAGGAGTGGTGGCTTTCCTAAGGCCACAGTAAAAGGGCAGCGTCTAGAACCAGGTCTGAGCCCCGCGTTCCCACCCCCACTCCAAGCTTCTCCCTTCTGAGGCCTGGCTGTGTTCATGACCCACTGGGCCAAGGGGGTCAGAGTGTCTGCCCTGCCCAAGCATCAGAAAACAGGGAGGTCAGATGCCCCAAGTGGAGAGAGCCAAGGGGGGAGCTTCCTGGGGTCTTTCAGGGACTGCCCGGCTCCTGAATCACCCAGCTGGGGGAAAGGCAGGCGGGGGTGGTGCCCACCAAGCTGAATCACACAGGGCCAGGCTGGGTGGGCCCAGAGATCTGCTCTGGGATTGGGCCCAGGGATCACCCATGGCAGGGACGGGGCTTGGGCAGAAGGGCAAAGCCACCGTCTACCCTTTAGTTCTGTCCCCTTCAGAAGGCGAGTAAGAGTCTAGACCTTGGCTCTGCCTCCAGTTTGCTGGGTGATCCCAGCCCCAGCTCCCCTCTGGGCCTCAGCTCCCTCCTAAGTCAGGTGGGCATGAGCCACCCGGCCCACTTCGAGGGGTCCTAGGGAGGCTCAAGGGAGGAAGGGCGGGACGGTAACACTTCCCTGGAAAACTCCGGCTGAGTGAGGGCTTATGGGCCCACGCACCCACTTCCTCAAGGCTCAGACCCAAGGCTGGGACCACCTCAGCCATGGAAGCCACTGGACACTCAGTGAGTGAAAATGCCCTACACAGAAGGTCCCACCTGCCAGAGCCAGGGCACTCACGTTGGAGCATCCCCCAGGACAGAGGCCAAGAATGGGGCAGAGTAGGGGGCTCAGGATGCAGACGCAGAAGGTTCCAGGCCTTGCCAACTCCAGCTGCCACAGGCCTCGGGGGAAGGAGCAGGGGCAGGCTGGTGTCATTCCTCCCACAGCCGCTGCAGGGGACGCACCTGCGGCTTCTCTCCGTGCCTCTCCCTGAGCTGCACTGCCCACCCAGCCTCTATGGTGGACTCGTTGCTGTTCCCACTTTCCAGATGAGGAAACTGAGGTGTGAGAAGTCATAGAACTTTCTAGGTCTGTGTGACCTGGAGCTGGGAGTTGGCTGGCCTCTTCTCTGGGCCACAGGACCTCTCCTGTTGGCTGTGTCACCGCCCCCTCAGCCTCTTCCCTCCTCCCTAACAGGGTCACAGGCCGCTCCACCCACCCTCTGCCCAGTGCCAGAGGTTCTCTTGGAGCCAACAGCATCACTCTCTCCACCCACAGTGCCAATGTCCCCACCCCCAAGGCGTGTCGGCCCCACCCAAGGGTTAGAGGATCTAAACCGTCCCCAACAGAGGGTAGGACCCAGGACCTCCAGTCCTTGTGAGGCCTCACGCCTGGCCAGGAGACCCCAGACCTGTGCTGCCCCTGGGGTCCCGTCTCCTGGGCCTCTGTGTCCCCATTTGTGAAGTGGGGGCTGGGCCAGTGGGTCTTGGGGTATCTTCCTGTTCTCCAACCTCCCTATAAGTGACCCAGAAACGAAACACAGAGTCGTGCCCTTCCTCTGCTGCCCGCCCTCCCCGTTGCCCCAGCATCTCCAGAGCCTGGCCTCTCCCTTGAAGCCACCACTGTCCCGGGGACTTATTTTAGGGCTTTTTTTTTTTTCTCTTTTCAATGACTCACAGCTAATCATCCTCATCATAACTTTTGTGAACCTTTTTCATTATGAAAGTAACTGATGTAGCAGACAGCACGTCTGGAAGGATCCACAGCCAACTGGTAATGGGGGTATGCAGCAGCTGAGGGTGGGGGTGACGGGGAATTTGCTTTGTCGAGAATGGCTACTTTTTTTTTTTTTTTGAGACAGAGTCTCACTATGTTGCCCGGGCTAGAGTGCCATGGCGTCATCCTAGCTCACAGCAACCTCACACTCCTGGGCTCAAGTGATCCTCTGGCCTCAGCCTCCCAAGTAGCTGGGACTACAGGCATGCGCCACCATGCCCGGCTAGTTTTTTCTATATATTTTTAGTTGTCCAATTAATTTCTTTCTATTTTTAGTAGAGACGGGGTCTCGCTCTTGCTCAGGCTGGTTTCTCGAACTCCTGAGCTCAAACAATCCACCCGCCTTGGCCTCCCAGAGCGCCAGGATTACAGGCGTGAGCCACCGCGCCAGGCCGAGAATGGCTACTTTTTTAAACAGAGAACACATCCAGGCATTGTCTGCACAATCAAAAAAAATAAGTAAAAGAAAACACAAAAGAAACAGATTCAACAATAAAATAATGAAAACACCAAAGTGTATATAGTAAAAGTAGGCTGCACCCATCAGCCCAAGCCCCTCACCCACCCCTGGGGCCCACTGTCAACACTCTGTGGTAGATGCAGCCGGACATTGTCCCCTCAGGGCCAGGCGCCAGTGTGTACACACCACACCACACAGCACACGCCCACGTCCACGCCCCACACCAGGGAGACAGAGGCCTGGGGCACAGCGGAGGACACAGGCTTTGGGATCAGAAGGTTCTGGTTCTGGGCAAAAGGCTCCTCTCTCTGCCGAGCGTCAGTTTCCCCCAGTTCCAAGTGCTCCCCGGGGGCCCAGGATTGGGTCCTTCCTCCCAGCAGCCGCGTGGACACTCAGAGACTCCACCAAGAGGCGTGCTCGCCCCGCCCCCAGCCCCTTTCATGGCCACTGGAAACCTGCCTCCCGCCACCCTGCCCGGGCCCCCTCTGGCAGCACGCCTTTTGGGGAGGGCCGACTACGTGCCAGACGCCCTGAGCAGCTGCTTCCTGTACACAGCCTCCTCTGACACCCTCTCCCTGCCCGGGACCATCTTGGAACTTGCAACGCCCCTGCTGCCTCCATCCGGGGCACGTGGCTGGCACCAGGTTCACACCGGCCCAGCAGGCCACCGGAGAGGCTCCCGGCCCGCGCCAGGCGGGGGCATCGCGAAGCTGACAGGCACTCGCAGTGTGTCACAGCGGAAGCCCGCCGTCCCCTCCTACCTGGGCTGACTCCTTTGCTCTGCTCGCATTAAATCCTGTCCAGGCCACAGCGCACCTGAGCACTGGCCTGGGGGTCGAAGGGCCCGGTTGGTTCTAAGGCCAGCGAGGTCTCTAACTGGCTTTGGGCAGAAAACTTCCGCGACCTGGCCTGTCTTCCTCCCGCATGAAGGGGGGTGTCCCAAGTGGCGGGGAGCCCGAGGTCCCCCAGGCATCCCGCGATCCGCAAGGGAGTCCCGCCTCCGCTGGCTCATCCGCGGAATGGGCGGGAGACGGCGTGTCTGGCCCCTTCCGCGGCCCCGCTTCCTGCGGAACCAGCAGCCCAGTGCGGGGGTGGCGGGGTTGCCCAAGTGCCCCCTCCAGACCCCCCAGCCGGAGTCTGTCGGCCCAGGAACCCCGACCGTGACCGCGGAGGCCCGGCCCGGGCTGCCCGCCGCCCCCGCCCGCTGACCCGGCAGCCGAGCCCCAAATGCTGCCCCGCGGCCGCCCCCTCAGGTCCCTGGCCCGCGGCTCCGGCCTCCGTTTCCCCTCCGGCCCGGCGCCAGCAGGAGGGCGCTGTCGGGGTCGCACCTGCGTGGGCCACCCCTCGGCCCGCTGCCCCTCCGCGTCCCGTCCCCACTCACCAGCGGTGAGGGCACGCTCGGGAAAGAACACTGCGCGGCGGGAGGTGGTGGCCGCGGTCCCCCGGCCCGCCCCGCCCGCCGGGCCCCGCCCCGGTCCCCGCCCCACCCTCCTGCAAGGCGGGGAGCCCCTCCCGGACCCGGAGCTCCCTCCTCTCCGCCGCCGGCCAGTGAGACGCGCCTCTGCCTCCCCGGGGCCGCGAGCGGGTCTCTCGCTCCTTCTCCCCACGGTGACCGGCAACTGCCGCCCGCCGGGCCAGCCTCAGGGGTGAGGATCAGCAGGCAGGTCCCTTCTCCTCTGGAGCCTCACTTTTCCCATCTGTAAAATGGGGCACAAGACGGATCTCAGAGAAGGGAATCACCTCGCCTGAGGGTGAAGCCCGGATCATCCTCCTGCCTAGCCCTGCCCCCTTTCTGGGGGACACCCCAGTTCCTTTAGCTGTTGCCCCAGGGCTGGCTCGGCCACTTTCTGGCTGGTTCTCTCAGCCTCCATCTCCTCATCTGTAAAATGGACACGATTTGTGGGGCTGATGAGGATGCCTCGTGGTAATGCGGCAGGGCACCCCGCAGATGCTTGGCGCTCAGTAAGTGGGGTCTGCCGTCGTCACAACCCAGATGGGGCCTCCGGTTTGCCAGGGTCACTTCGCATCCCCAGGCCTTCGGCACCACCCTCCCCATCCGCGGGGGGGGGGGGGGCTTTATTACTGCAGCCCAGAGCCTGTCCTGGGCCCCTGGGCTGACTCAGCCTGGCAGCCCCCTCACTCCCACAGGGACCCAAACTGATCCCCAGGGAGAACTGTGGCTACTTCTCCCCAGGCCCAGTCCCCAGGCCTCCTTGGGGACCAGGTAGGGCTGCAGTGTGACTTTCCTAGAGCCTGGCATTTTTGCCTTTTTGGGTCCCTTCCTCCATTAAAAAGCAAACGAACATAACACATTCTGTTTTTGACTACATTGGTCTAAAGATAAGTATAACCCAGGCTCCCAGGATAGAGTCTATTCATTTGTTTCTTCTGATTTAAAAGAAATTAAAACATTTCATGTGCCCCTAGAACTACTCTGGCTTTAGGCACTTTGCCTGCTGTTCCTGGAGGCCACGCCTCCACTGGGCTGCCAGCCCTTACTTGCTTCCGGTAAGGAAATGGAGCTGCCCCCAGCTTGGCGGAGTAGCAAACTCCCCCTGCGGCTTCCTCCCACCTCCCCTCTACTGCACACAGGGCACCAGGCCCACAGGGGCACCCTGGGAAGCAGGGATGTCTGTCCCAAAATACTCGCTGCATACCAGGACCAAAGGGAGGGGCTGAGGACAAGCACGCAATGTGCCTGCCCTCGTGAAGCTCATACCCATTTCACAGATGACAACACTGCATGTCAGAGGGGTGAGTTGCTGCCCGAGGGATCCATGCTCCAAGTCTGATGCAGATGGAGGATGCCCTGGCGGCCTCCCTAGTACTTCTGCCTCCCTCCCCTCTGTCCCCACATACCCCCTTGGAACTTGGGCACAGCCTTTGTCTATCCCCTGGGCAGCAGCCACAGGCCCTCGATGGCCCCTAGCCCCCATCTTGTCCCTTCCTGCTGCTCCATGTAATCTGACCACAACCCTCCTCTGCTCACGCCCCCTGCAGCTCCCACTACCTTAGAATCCAGTCCAAGCCTTTAACCTGGCACTGGCGGCCCTCCCAAGCTGGAGTGGGGCTGATTACCCCACCCTTTCCCACCTCTGTGCCTTTACATACTCTGTTCCCCCTGCCTAGAGCACTCTTTGCCCCACCGGGGCATCTCCACTTGTCCAAGTCTAATCACTTCTCCAGCATCACCCCAGGAAGCTCCTCCAGAACCCCAACACTGTGTCGTCCCCACTGTAGGTGGGCAGGATGCCCAGAGAGCTGAACCCTCGTGGATACAGCACAATAAGACCCACTGATTCTTCCAAGCACACGCACGTGTTCCTTCACCAGAACACCTTCATGCTAGAGATGGTTTTGTAGCTTGTTTTCTGCCCTTTACGATAAATCTGAAACCTCTCTTTACATTTATTTTTTTTTCCTGGAGACAGAGTCTCACTCTGTTGCCTGGGCTAGAGTGCCGTGGCGTTAGCCTAGCTCACAGCAACCTCAAACTCCTGGGCTTAAGCAATCCTTCTGCCTCAGCCTCCCGAATAGCTGGGACTACAGGCATGCACCACCATCCCTGGCTAATTTTTTCTATGTATATTTTTAGTTGTCCAGCTGATTTCTTTCTATTTTTAGTAGAGATGGGATCTCACTCTTGCTCAGTCTGGTCTCGAACTCTTGACCTCGAGCGATCCTCCTGCCTCAGCCTCCCAGACTGCTAGGATTACAGGCGTGAGCCACCATGCCCGGCCAGAAACCTCTCTTTACATGAACAAACATATGACTACATTGTTTTTTTATTGTGAAATGTTCCAAGCAGAAATGTATATAGAACATATGTGTACACTTTAAAATAATAATAAAAAGAATGCCGGGATGCTCACCGCCAGGTTAATGAACAAATGTTACCAGTGTCCTAGGACCCCCAGTGCTCTCTCTGGTGATTCCTGCCCCCACCCAGAATGCACCTCTACCTTGACTTTCGGGTTGAACATGGCCTTGCTCTCCTTTAGAGCTTTGCGAACCCCCCTGGGTAGGTTTCCCTGAGCGCTCACGTTGACAACTTCCGACCAGCTGAGGCAGCACACACCGTGCTGGGACAAACGGGCACCATGGCCAGACTAGAAGAGACCTCCTGAAAGGGTGAAGCTCAGTTGAGTCCCTGGGACACAGGCTGGCCTCAGCCTCCAAGAGCACCGACATGAGTCCCCTCCGGGGAAGTCAGAGGGCAAGGTTGTGGGTCAGGACATCTGGCAGGGCTGTGGCACAGACCTGCAGCAGGAAACGGTCAGGGGTATGGGCTGCCCTGTCCTCCTGCTTCTGCGCTGTGTCCTGTATGCAGGTCTCAGGAGTAGCGTGATGTTGGACGCTTCTGCCAGGGGGACCAAGTGTCCTCAGCTGGCCCAGGCAGCGGGGCATGCAGTGTGGGGAGAAGAGGGCTTCATCAGCCTGTGACCAGGACCAGCCAAGTGCAGACAAGAATCTGGGCCAGGCTTGCCGGGTGTCCCATTCTTACATGGGTGGCAGTAGCAGGCATCTCGGCAATGACAGCTCTCAGTACACCTCGAGTCACGCTGTTCCCAGCTGGACTGGCTGCACACGCCTGGCACACACATCATCCCAGGGTCTCCCTTTGCCCCCACCCAGGGACGCCCTTGCCCCTCTCCCGGATGGAGCCTCATTTCCATGATTGCTCATCTTCCTCCTTCTTAGTTTCCCTTTGTGTTGAGCGCGTCTCCACGAGTTCTTGAGAAAGAGCTGGAGGAAGGTAACATTTGTGAAATCCTGCATTCTGCCCCATGGATGACTGATGCTTGGCTGAGTAAGAATTTAAAGCTGGGGATCGTTGCCGTCAGAATTGCGAAGATGTGCTGCCGTCCAGCTGCCAGACATGCTCTGCTTCTGGAGCTTTGGTGTGGAACTCATTTCATTCCACACCAGATTTTAAGATTTTTGGTGTCTTCCTTTTTTTTTTTTTTTTCTTTTTTCAGATTGCATCCCCTTCCTTTTTTAAGATTTTTGGCCCAGAGTTCTGAAATTTCACACTGATATTCCTCTCTGTGGGCCTAATTTCAACCATTATGCCAGCACTCAACAGGCCCTTTCCATCTGGAAACTCATATTCTTTATTTGTCAGAAATGCAATTATTTCTGTAATTTCCTTCCCTCCACTTTCTTGCTTCTCTTTCTGGAACTCCTATTACTCAGATCCGGGACTTCCTGGGCAATTTCCTGTTCCTGTTTTGTGGATACCTCTTCTCTTGCCTCTTAAAGATATCAATGACAATCATTTTCTTCTCTCCGCATAGTCTCTGAATACTATACACTGCTTTTCCCCTGTTTATAAGGGGCTCTCCTCAAATGCTTGGCAAACTTAGGCTGGCTGCTCATGATTGAAGAAATGAACAAAATAAGCCTATGGATGGTATTTGTTGGTTTAGTGTCACTATAAGGTAACCGTGGTGGGCCAAGTTCTGGAAACTTCCTGGACTGTCAATATCTTCAGGCTTTTTCTTTTGGGCTGGTCAGGTTCCTCCAGTCCCTTGCTTGGAGGGTAAGGGTCTGGCTCCAGGTTTCCGGGAGCTCGCTTGGGGAGGGTGCTGGAGGAGGTCTCTGCATCAGCATTCAGTGTCCAATTGTTTTGGCAGAGTACCCAGGTTCACTGCCATCCTTGCCATGCCCAGCCCAGAGATTCTTTGTCCCTTTCCAGAGCTAAATCCCAGATGTTTCCCAGAGTGGGGGAGGGGCATCACCCAGGGACTGGGGACAGGGAGCGGATTTGAAGATCTGCTTCTCAAAGACACCTTCAAATAGTCCTCTGGTTTTAGTCTTCTTTCACCCTTAGATCTAGAAACAGCTTCTGCTGTAAGTTCTTAAGATTTTTTTTTTTTTAAAGCTAGTCAAGTGAAGCAGTGGGAGTAGAGAAGGAATAAAGAAATCTATAACTGGTTGTGATCAAGTTTTTAAGCTTTTGAGGATTCTGTTGCATGACTAAGAGTTGGTTCTCAGCTTTCCCCACTGCTGGGAGGGATTTAGCTGTCTGAGATCAACTAAGTCAGGTAACATCAACCTACCTGCTTTCCAGCTTCCAGATTTCTGTTGCTGCAGTCCCCTTTCCTGTTCTTCCTGTCCTTGTGGATTTGTGTCTTTAAAATATCCCTTTGCTGTGGATTTATGGGCTTCCAGAGACAGTGTGTGCTCTACGCATGTCTTAACCTGAAAACCTCCTCCATATCTTTTATGACCATAGCACTGTATAGATTTGTCATATTTCATTTAGCTAATCCTCTCTAGCTGAACATACAGCTTATCTCTGCTTTTTCCTTGTCAAAAGCAGGGCTGCCATGGACATCTTGAGAGTTAGGTCTTTGCTTATTTGATTCTTTTCTTAGGACAAACTCAGTGAAGTAGATTAGCTGATGTGGTTTGCTGTGGACTGAATGCTTCAAAATTCATGTGTTGAAGCCTAATCCCCAGTGTGATGGTATTTAGAGCTGAGGCCTGTGGGAGGTGATTAGGTCATGAGGGTGGAGCCTTCATGAATAGGATTAATGCCCTTATAAAAAGAGGCAGAGACAAGGGATCTCTCTCTCTCCCTGCTCGCTACCATGTGAGGATACAACAGGAAGACAGCCATCTGCAAACCAGGAAGCAGGCTGTCACCAGACACTGGATCTGCAGGTGCCTTGATCTTGGCCTTCCCAGCCTCCAGAACTGTAAGAAATAAATTTCTGTTGTTTAAGTCCCCCAATCTGTGGTATTCTGTTACAGCAGCCCAAACTAAGACTACCTAGATTTTGTTATTATGAAGTGTGTGTACGTGTATGTGTGCGTATTGGCTCCTTAGAAGAGGCTGGCAAGAAATGAGGGAGTAGAGGGGGAGAAGAGGGGTTGGAGTGAGGTCAGAGTTAGACTCTCCGATCTAGCCTCACACCAGCACTCAGAAGCTGGTGTGAAAATTGCCAGTACCAACATGGAGTCACTTATGTCGAACTCTAAAATGGTGTCAGGGGAAACCTTGAAAAAGAAGCGCTCATGCAAACATGCCTGTAACCAGGATTTATCACAAGACCTACCTACACTAGACTGGTATCAGGACTTGTCACAGGAAATTGCTCAAGTCAAAAAAGCTACCTGTACAAGGACATTTGCCTGGCAATGGCCGATAAGTTCACACCAACTGCTACAACAAACCCCTGTAAACTTTGGTCTTTGTAACCTTTAGTTTTGAAACAGCTTCAGTGGACTTCTCTTTATCTTTAAAAGATTCCCCTTCCCCATCCGGATCCCCCACCCACTTAGATACCCTATGGTCTGTCACAGTTTGCATTGCAGACTGCAACCCTGCTGTTCCCAAATAAAATCATTTGCTGAAGATAGCCTCTCTATGTTTTTAGGTTGACAGTAGATAACACCAATTCCAATCCCTAGTCTGTCACTAATCACCTGTCACTCAATCTTTGACCCCTTGTCTGCTCATCTGTAAATTGAGAATAATAATAGCACCTACCGGCAGGGCGCAGTGGCTCACATCTGTAATCCTAGCACTCTGGGAGGCCGAGGCGGGCGGATTGTTTGAGCTCAGGAGTTCGAAACCAGCCTGAGCAAGAGCGAGACCCCGTCTCTACTAAAAATAGAAAGAAATTAATTGGACAACTAAAAATATATAGAAAAAATTAGCCGGGCATGGTGGCGCATGCCTGTAGTCCCAGCTACTCGGGAGGCTGAGGCAGAAGGATCGCTTGAGCCCAGGAGTTTGAGGTTGCTGTGAGCTAGGATGACGCCACGGCACTCTAGCCCGGGCAACACAGTGAGACTTTGTCTCAAAAAAAAAAAAATAATAATAATAATAATAGCACCTACCCATCACACTGTTGCCATGAGGAATTAAATAAGCTAATATCTGAAACATATCCAGGGCTTTACTGAATGGCATAAAGATTTATTGGATGCTTGTTGTGCCAGGCACCGTGCCTGGTTTGTAAGAAACAATATAAAAGACAGCTGTTATCTTGCTTAGTGTTGGGAGAATCATTTGCGAAGGAGAATTTCTAAGTCTCAAGTACTCTTCGTGTGCTAGGTAGAAAGAGTAAATATTACATTGCTTTGCGTTACTCATTCCATAAATATCTGTTGAGGGCTCGCTATGCTGTGGGGTCGTGTTCTATTCTTGGCTGTGGAGGTTTAAGGAAGCGCACAGTTCACTCTAGGCCCCCTGCACGCAGCCATGCAGCGTCTCAGAGCCCAGGCGGAACCAGTAACCACGGAACCTTTCTTTCCGCTCCCGGGTGCCCCGGGCGGCCGGGCAGGAAACGCGTCAAGGACTACGCAGCATCGCGCCGCCGCAGTCGGGCCTTGGTCACCGCGGTAACGCGCGCTGGGCTGGTGTTTCAGCATGAGCTTGCGGGTCGCGCGGGCCCGGTGGGCCCGGGGCTTGGGTGCCGGCTGCCGCCGCCGCGCCTCGAGCTTCCCGGTGCCTCCGCCGGGCGCCAAGGGCGTGGCAGAGCTGCTGCGAGAAGCGACGGAAGCGGAGGAGCAGCCCTGGGCGGCGGAGACGCGGCGAACGCCGGGGCAGTGCTCGGTGCTGCTCTTCCCCGGCCAGGGCAGCCAGCTGGTGGGCATGGGCCGCGGTCTACTCGGCTACCCGCGCGTCCGAGAGCTCTACGACGCCGCCCGCCACGTGCTGGGCTACGACCTGCTGGAGCTGAGCCTGCACGGGCCGCAGGAGGACCTGGACCGCACCGCGCACTGCCAGCCCGCTGTCTTCGTGGCTTCGCTGGCGGCGGTCGAGAAACTCCATCACCTGCAGCCAGCGGTGAGGCCCGAAGCCCTGTGGCAGGCCGGGGCCCGCCCGGGGCTCCCACGTCTGACTCATTTAACAGATTCTTACCGAGTTCCCATAATGTGCCAGGCACTGTTCTAGGTGCCGTGAACAAGACAAGGATCTCTGCCCTAGGGGAGCTTGCATCTTAGAGGAGACAGATAATAAACAATAACTGTACTCATTATGGAAATTACATATTTTGTTAAAGATAAGTGTTACCGAAAGAAATATAGAGTAGATTAAGGAGATGGGGAGTGGAGGGCTGAGTTGTGATTTTAAATGATCCTTAATCATTTAATTATTAGATGATTTTAAAAGGATTAAAGTTAGGCCGGGCGCGGTGGCTCACGCCTGTAATCCTAGCACTCTGGGAGGC